ATTGGTGACTGGTTAAATACTTATTTTCCCCACTGTATATATATATAAGAATACTACTGTGTGCGTTCTTTCAAACAAATATCTTGAATGCTCCTGTTTGAAATGTCCTTCAGGCTGCTGGACTCTTGTCGGCTGATGGTTTCCTGTTTGTGTGAAAGTCCAGGAGCACCCACCCCTCTCCAGTCAGGATGGACCCGTCCAGGCAAAAGCACTTCTCGGTTGTGGACTACGTTATATTTGCAGTTCTGCTGGCTGCCTCAGCGGGTATCGGGCTGTATTATGCCCTGTCTGGGGGCCGGCAGCGCACCACGCAGGAGTTCTTGTTGGCGGACAGGAGCATGCGCTGCCTCCCCGTCTCCCTGTCCCTCATCGCCTCCTTCCAGTCGGCCGTGGCCATCATCGGAGTCCCTGCTGAGATCTACACCCACGGTACTCAGTACTGGTTCATGGGCTGCGCTTATGTTTTAGGACTTTTAATCCCGGCTCATGTTTTCATTCCGGTGTTGTACAGACTGCGACTCTCCAGTGCTTACCAGGTGGGGGAAGTTTCAGAAATGCATCTGTGTACCACCATTAGATGGCCTTCTTCTAATCCTCCTCTCATGTTTTGGTTCAAAGTATCTTGAACTGCGGTTCAGCAAAGCCGTGCGAGTCTGTGGGACTTTGACCTTCATCTTTCAAATGGTGAGTTCATTTTGATACTTTAGTCAGCTGTCAGTCCTTTCTTTATAATAAACATAAAATATTAGGGGTGCACCAAAACATCGTTTTAAATCGGAATCGTGATTCTCATTTACAAAGATAAGTAGGACTGAATAAATTGAAGTATATTCATTACACAAAGGTTTGATGTGCAGTGTGCCAGGCAGAAATGGCATTTTGGCACAATTTAGCCAAATGTACCCAAAGCTGTGCCAAATGGGTTTTTTACTTTATTAAAGAGAATCTGGTTTAATAAAAGTGTTGATTTCTATTGTAGAACTCATTCTGCATATGACATAACCTTTTCTTTTTACATTTACACTGTGCATCACCAAAATCTACTATCATATTATTTACCCACGCGCCTACAGAAACTTAACTCCGCCTCCATGTTTTACGCACGAGGGCTGTTATTTATATTCTCGGTTATGCACAAACGTCAAGTCACCAAACAAAGAGTAATACAGTGTCAAGATATATACCTGAATTCATTAGAGCTTCATCTTTTCAAAGATACCAAAGGGAGGGGTATGGAACCAAAACTTGTACAGCAACAGATGCGGAGAACTTCCTGATACTGAAAACGGTTCGCGACGGTTCAAGTAACTTACAAATGTTTATATAGCTCTAAAATCATAAATATTTATCCAAAAAATAATTTGGCAACTCATTTCAAAAACATTAAAGACACCTTTTGGGACAGACTTAGAAAAAATTTGGGGAAAATAAGTTTTACGCCTACTTTAGCAAACAGCAATGCATGGTCGCCATCTGCTGGCCCTGTACAGGTAAGGTAGAATGGAAGATCAAGGAGGACAGTAAATAATAAAAAGACTGTCTTTAATTTTCCAAACCTCATTGAGAAGACACAACGCTTCTGGGAGAATGTTCTTAGAGCTGATGGGTCTAATTTTGTCTCATCTGTCCAGTGTTCACACACCCAAAACTGAAGCAAAGAGCAGAACCGTGGACCTACATTAAAACATAGAAGAGGCTCGGTTCTGTTCTGTTCTGTTCTGGCACAAGGGGTCTAGAATCTGTGCAGGGTACAATGAAATCTCAAGACTATCAAGGCATTCTGGAGCTTAATGTGCTGCTCAGTGTCAGAAAGTTTGGTCTCAGTCACAAGTCATGGGTCCAACAGAATAATGACCCAAAACAACTAAAACCACCAAGAATGTTTGTTTAAAGACATTTTCAGGACGTGAACCCTTGTTTGTTTTCAACTGATTTAACGTTTGGAGTTGATCCAGTTCAAGTTGGCTAAYGTGTACTTTAACTTATTGTATGAGACTATAATTTTTTTGTAATCTGGGTTTGAGCAAAACAACTCTAACTCTGTCATTTGTCAACATCAATGATCTTAGTGTAAAACTCGACCATGAGAGGCATTGGGCGATATTCATTCCTACATGAAAAGCTACGTCTTCAATCTCGTTCTGTTTTCTGATTTTCATGTGTCCTTGGTTTAAGGTGGTCTACATGGGTGTTTGTGTGTACACACCAGCATTTGCACTAAATGCAGGTACAAAAAAAACAACTTCAATTTGACTTTCAAATCTGGGTAAGTTTTTACATCTGTGTTTTCTTTTTCAGTTACAGGATTTGAATTATGGGGAACAGTTTTGGTGACAGGACTGGTGTGCACCTTGTACACGACTGTGGTGAGTTCTGAATATTATGGATGATGTACCAACATTTTAGTGTCAGATACTCACTGCCTGTATGTGGCTGTTATTCTAACATTACAGGGACTTTGTTCATTTATTCACTTCTAATATTTATTCCATTCAATTCAAKTTATATAAGTCACAATGAACATTGAATCAGGGCACTGTAGAAAAACATTCACATACATTATAGCCTAGTAAAATTATCAGTCTAATGGTGTATTCACACCAGGAAAGCCCTTTGGTCCACTTGTTTAGTCTGGAATAAAAACAGACTTTATTTTTTTTCCTTTGGTGCAGTTTCCATTCCTATTGTGCTTTTTGCAAATGGACTGTAATTCATAAACAAAGCCACACGGGTGACGATCTTTGCTCTCATTGGACAGAAATGACAGGGACAGGAAGAGCACAGGCCCAGAAAGAAAGATGGAGCTGTTAATACCATTTAGAATTTCAAGAGCAGCTCATTCAAAGGCGGCTTTGTGACAATATACTTCTAACGTTGGGATGACGTTAAATGATTGCTGCAKCCCATAGGAGATAAGATGCTGCTCGTGCCCTGATACACACTCAGCTCATTGTTTATAGTGCAGTGTTAGCATTAACAACACTAGTGGGCTAACTGTCACCATGTTGCTTAGAAAAGTCACGTTTCCTGTAGTTGGTTCAGTTCAAGGCTGGTCTGTACTCGCACCAGAAGTGACCCACACCAGAGTTTGTTTAGAAGTGGACCGAGACCACCTAAATAATGGGTCTTGGCCTGGTTGTTTGGTCCACATGAGTGTGTTCACACCTGCGGTAAAGGTCCAGACCAACAGGAAACAAACTCTGTGTCCCTGATTAGTTGTAACATTAGAATTTATTTGATAAACATATATTTTAACTGTAAAATAAAGACTGTAAAAATACTGTAGGCTCTGTAGTTTTGTAAATTTTTAAAAATATATTTTAACACGGACGGAGCCATTTTATTTACACACAAAGCATTCTGGGTAGATGATGACGTGGATAGGTCCTCGGTGCGAGGCTGCTAGCGAGC